AAACCCTTTGTCCAAAGGGTTTGAGTCCAAACCCTTTGTCCAAAGGGTTTGAGTCCAAACCCTTTGAGATGCAGCAAAGACAGTTCTAAGAGGAAAATACATTGCAATTCAGGCCTATCTCAAGAAGCAAGAAAGTCCTCAAATATACAACCTAACCTTACACCTAAAGGAGCTAGAAACCCTGAAGCAAAGAAAGCCCAAAGCCAGCAGAAGAAGAGAAATAATAAAGATTAGAGCAAAAATAAACAATATAGAATCAAACAAAATAAAACAAAACAGGAGAACAGATCAATAAATCTAAGAGCTGGTTTTTTGAAAGAATAAACAAAATTTATAAAACCTTACCCTGACTTCTCAAACAGAAAAGAGAGAGGACCCAAATAGATAAAATCATAAATGAAAGAGGAGAGATCACAACACCACAGAAATACAAACAATTATTAGAGAATACTATGAACAGTTATATGTCAAACACTGGACAATATGGAAGAAATAGACAAATTCCTAGACACCCACACACTATCAAAACTCAGGAAGAAATAGAAAATTTGAACAATTAACCAAGGTAGAAATTGAATCTGTTATCAGAAATCTCCCAACAAATAAGAGTCCTGGGCCAGATGGCTTCCCAAGGGAATTCTACTAGACATTTAAAACAGAGTTAATACCTATTGTTCTCAAATTGTTCCAAAAAATAGAAATGGAATGGAAGCTTCCAGACTCCTTCTATCAAGTCAGCATTACCTTGATTCCAAAACCAAAGACCCCACTAAAAAGGAGAATTACTGGCCAATATCCCTGATTAACATGGATGCAAAAATTCTCAACAAGATACTAGCAAATCAAATTCAAAGGTATATTAAAAGAATTATTGACCATGATCAAGTGGGATTCACTCCTGACCTGTAGGGCTAGTTCAATATTTGGAAATCAATCAACATGATACATCACATTATTGGAAGAAAGGATAATTATCATATGATCCTGTCAATAGATGCAGAAAAAATCATTTGACAAAATACAGCATTCTTTCTTAATAAACCCTCAAGAAAATTGGGATAGAAGGAACATACCTTAATATTATAAAAGCTATATATGAAAGGCCCACAGTTAATATCATCCTCAATGGGGGAAAAACTAAGAGCTTTACCCCTGAGGTCAGAAACACAATAGGGATGTCCACTCTCACCACTGTTATTTAACATAGTGTTGGAAGTCCTAGCCTCAGCAATCAGACAACAAAATGATATAAAAGGCATCCAAATTGGCAAAGAAGTCAAACTTTCACTCTCCGCAGATGACGTGATACTCTACATGGAAAACCCAAAAGACTCCCCCAACACCTGCTGGAGCTGATACAAGAATTCCACAAAGTCATAGGATATAAAATCAACGTACAGAAATTGGTCGTATTTAACTACACCAATATGAAGCAACAGAAAGAGATTTCAGGGAATCAATCCCATTTACAACTGCATCAAAAACTATAAAATACCTAGGAGTAAACCTAACCAAAGAGGTAAAAGATCTGTACACTGAAAACTATAGAAAGCTTATGAAGGAAATTGAAGAAGACACAACATTCTATGTTCATGGAACATGAAAATTTTGTTGACAGGAAAATTTTGTTAAAATGTCGATACTACCCAAAGCAATCTATACATTCAATGCAATTCCAGTGAAAATAACACCAGCATTCTTACCAGAGCTAGCACAAACAATCTTAACATTTTTTTTACATTGATTTATTTTTGAGAGGCAGAGCACAAGTGGGGTAGGGGCAGAGAGAGAATGAGACACAGAATCCGAAGCAGGCTCCAGGGTCTGAGCTGTCAACACAGAGCCCTACGCGGGGCTCAAACCCACAAACCGTGAGATCATGACCTGAGCCAAAGTCGGATGCCTAACCCACTGAGCCACCCAGGTGCCCCAGCATTCTTAACATTTATATGAAAACACAAAAGACCCCAAATAGACAAAGTAATGTTGAAAAAGAAAACCAAAGCTGGAGGCATCACAATCCCAGACTTTAGCTTTATTGTAAAGCTGTAATCATCAAGATGGTATGGTGTTGGCACAAAAACAGACATAGAATAGAGACACAGAAATGGTCCCACAACCACAAATCTATGGCCAACCAATCTTTGACACAGCAAAAAAGAGTATCCACTGGAAAAAAAGACAGTTTTTAGGAAATGGTGCTGGGAGAACTGGACAGCAAAACACAGAAGAATGAAACTGGATCAGTTTCTTAGACCATACACAAAAATAAATACAAAATGGATGAAAGATCTAAATGTGAGACAGGAAACCATCAAAATCCTACAGGAGAAAACAGGCAGCAACCTCTTTGACAGCCACAGCAGCTTCTTACTTGACATGTCTCCAAAGGCAAGGGAAATAAAAGCAAAAATGAGCTGTTGGGACTTCATCAAGATAAAAAGCTTCTGCACAGCAAAGGAAACAATCAACAAAACTAAAGGCAACCGACGGAAAGGGAGAAGATGTTTGCAAATGACATATTGGATAAAGGGTTAGTATCCAAAATCTATAAAGAACTTATTAAACTCAACATCCAAAAAACAATTCAGTGAAGAAATGGGCAGAAGACACGAATAGACACTTTTCCAAAGAAGACATCCAGGTGGCAAACAGACACATGAAAAGATACTCAATGTTGCCATTCATCAGGGAAATACAAATCAAAACCACACTGAGATATCACCTCACATTGGTCAGAGTGGCTAAAATTAACAACTCAGGGAACAGCAGATATTGGGGAGGATGTGAGGAAAGCGGAACCCTCTTGCACTGTTGGTGAGAATGCAAACTGGTGCAGTTACTCTAGAAAACAGTGTGGAGGTTCCTCAAGAAATTAAAAATAGAATTGCCCTATGACCTTCACTACTAGGAATTTATCCAAATGATACAGTAGTACTGATTTGAAGGGGTACATGTACCCAAGGTTTATAGTAGCACTTTCAACAATAGCCAAATTATGGAAAGAGCCCAAATGTCCATCAACTGATGAATGAATAAAGAAGATGTGGTGTGTATATATATAATGGAATACTAATCTGCGATGAGAAAGAATGAAGTCTTGCCATTGCAACAACATGGATGGAACTAGAGGGTATTATGCCAAGCGAAATAAGTCAGTCAGAGAAAGACACATATCATATGATTTCATTAATATGTGGAATCTGAGAAACTGAACAGGTGATCATAGGGGAAGGATAGGAAAAATAAGATAAAAACAGAGAGAGAGGCAAACCATAAAAGACTCTTAAATACAGAAAACAAACTGAGGGTTGATAGGGATGGGAAAAATGTGTGATGGGATTTAAGGAGGGCATTTCTTGGGATGAGCAACATCCCAACAAGTTATATGTATTATATGTATGTGATGTATATGATGTTATATGTAAGTGATGAATCATTGGAATCTACTCACCAAGCCAAGACTACACTGCATGTTAGCAAATTGAGAATAAATTTTAAAAAATAGGTTTGCACAGAAAAAGGCACTGTTAAAAAAATTGAATAGAACTGTAATAATTACCTTGGAGGAATGTCTATAATATATTAACTAAGATGAACAAGATGTAGAAAAGTGTTGTATGATTCTATTTTTGATACACAAACACACAGATATGAGCTTATAAGCATGAATAATGATACAATTTCATGTAGACTTTTACATAATACAAGCTGAATTGTTAATAAGGGCAGTGTTATTGGGGCAGTAATGTAGTCGAGAGGGAGAGGCAGAAGTGGGGAAAAAAAAGCAAAAGAAAATGAAAGACCACCCAAAAAAGAGCAAATATTCTATAATCTATTAACACATTTATATAAACTTGTATCTGTATATAGACACACTTATTTTTATTTATTTGCATTTTTATTTTATATTTATTTATAGACATTTTAAATGTATAAATACAAAATTTTAATTGAGGTATATTTATATATACCATCATGTTAGTTTCTGGTGTATGACACAATGATTCAATATCTTTATAATTTGCAAAATGATCACCATAATAATAAGTCTAGTTAGCATCTGTTACTCTAAACTGTTATAAAATTTTTGTTGTTGTTGTTTAGAAAAGGGGACATGAAATAGTCTGGTAGGGGGCAGTTTTTGGGAAAAATAAATGTGTGTTATGCTCCCACTATGTTGAGGTTTTGCAATAAATCAATCCTAAAAGAAGAAGAAAGGGCCAGCTGTGTGGTACATATAAGTGCAAATCAGTGGGAGCACAGGATTACTTCCGTGAGGAGTGGGCTCTGAGGAGAACTCCTGAAGAAAGACAGCAGATGAACACACAGCTCCAATCACATGGTCCGGGTGGGCAGCCACCATCTGTGTCCACCTCAGACAAGTGTGGGGACACTGAGCTCTTGTCCACCAGTAGCCAAATCTGGTCAACTCTTAGGCTTGAGCACACTACCTAAAAACTATCTAGATTACTTTCCCCTACTTTACATGTCCCCCTCTTCATTTCCATAATATTTATCACATTTCACACATATTAATGGATTAGTTACCAATGTCTATTCACCCTTTCTCCACATCCACCTCCTTAAGGGAAGGCACTTTGACTCAGTGTTATAGCTGCAAAATTTAGCATGGTGGCTGATACTTAGTAAAATGTCAAGAATTTGTTGAAGGTTCATAGACATAACTTTTCTATACTGAAAAATACATAAGAAAATGGTTATTACTTTTTGTTCTTGTTGTTATAAGCCCACTTGAGACTTTAATGAAAGCCATGAAACTTTTTCCCAGAAAAATTCAGATTTTCGTCGCATTTACTGGAGATTCACTAATTAGCCTAAAACCCATTCATGTCGGTTTCATCAGTTCCAAATTATATTAATTTTCCAGTTTAAGCCATAGACGTTAACTTTTATGGAGTACTTACAATTTGTCGGACTTTGTGCTGTCTTACATGTAATATTTCAATAACCCTTACAACTCTAGGGGGTAAGTCCCCCTAGATGAAGATGAAGAATCAGTGCAAAAGAGATCAACTTGCTTATCCAACTTCATAGAACTGATTGGCAGTAGAACTGGGACTCAAACCGAGATTTTTTTTTTTTTTTTTTATATAGCCTGAGTTTGCACTCTTAACCACTAAAAATCATCTGCCTGTTCTCTGTTCCCACCCATGGTGAGCAACGGAGTTACCCAGTGAAGACACTTAATCTCCCCTAGTAAGAGACTGAAATGATGATATTAGCTGGCTTGAGCTTGATGTGAGCAAAGTTTCCTTGATTGAACAGGACAGCCTGTTCCCCCAACAGCACTCAGGATGCATCGAAAGCCCACATTCCTGCTGCACTTGTTTAGCAATTGGCAGCGCTGTGACTCTAAATTATCTCGTGCATGTTTCAAACCATTTAAATTGTCACTGTAGGATTTTGCCTATTAGCAAAATACCATCCCCTGAATACTGATTATGTAAAACAGCACAATTGTCTGGTGAAAGGAAAGCAATGACTTCTTGAATGTAGTCCAGCAGTATGACTGCTCTTTTTTGGTGAAATGTAAGGAAGTTGCTTGTGTACTATTCTTTATGTAATTAGATTCTGGGTGTATTCATATTTTACCACATGCTGATACAAAATAAATAGGCACAGTATTTTAAAAAATGTTTTGTCACACATAAACGTCTTTCATTGAGGCTAAGGCGAGTAAAACATGTCTTCTTTTGCATTTTTCTCCCTTCTTCTTTGGTGGTGACAACATTTCCGTCAGAGA